CACCATGAAGAGCTCCCCCTCCCCCGCCCTCCCCAGCAGCTTTAGGTTTTAAGCGTGCCTATTTCCCTACGCCCGCCTGCAATTTTACAAAGGTGTTGTTTGGCAATACTGTGAAAAATCCTGCCGCCTACCAACAGGTTGAGCTCCCGCCCCCTCCCAAAGTCTCCGCTCCCTCCCCCGACCCAACTTTCCTGCGCAGCTGTCTTCCTCCTCCTCCCCCTCCCGATTTCTTATTATTTGCTTTTCAAATTTATTACTTCAACATGGCCTGTGATCTGGAAAAGGGAAGGATTAAATATCCAGAAAAGGGCTGGTGCCTAATAGACTTCTGACGAAACCCCGGAGGAAATTATTCAGTTTTATGGGATATTTTGTAGTCACTTTTTTGAATTGAAATTGAAATTTTTTTTAAGACCCCGAGTTGACCCCACTGGGTTCACTTTTAATTTCTGTCGGTGTAATTAAATAGCGAATTCTGATTTAAGAATACAAGCTGTATTTGCCGAAGATTACATCAGCTAGAACTGTTGACAGTGAATAGATATATTTATAAATACTCGAGTTCTTTTTAATTGTTCATTATGGGGCATTGAAAGCGAACCTCTTTAAGGATCTGTGCGTTTCGTCACTGCTGTATGAACCATACCTGGGAAAATTAATCTTGCCATTTAAAAGTAAACTCTAGGGGGTTTGCGGAGGGAGATGGCTCTATTTATAATCCTCGGCTGCATATACATCCTCTAATATTATGCATGATTTGTTTTTTAATGCTAACACGGCTGGTAATTAGCTGTATGATTATACTTGTATATTTCATTAGGACTTCGGCTGATGTCATTGTGAATTATTCAGCCATATTAAAACAATTTTCAATTGAGATAATGACACGCCTCAAAATTATGCAAATACAGACTGCATTGTGCAAAATAATTATGACAAATGTAAAGCAGGTAGAAAGTTTCCCAATGCAGATTGGTCTTCCACTCTGGTGATGTCATTTCCCCCCTGGCCTAAGTTAGTCATTCATTAGCAGAACAGCAGCAGCCCTCTCCTCTGCAGGAGAGGACACAAACCAGCATTTACTGCCGGCACCTAGAGGGGGCAAGCGGGCCCTCTCATTAAGAAATTTGCTTTGTTTTCACTTACCCCATTAACTTGTTTATATACATTGAAATGATTTTTGTTATTGATTTTAAAGAGTTTTGAATGACGCCTTTGCCATTTGCAGTGTGTAACCAAGAGAAAAAAGGTCTCTTGGTGCTGTGCACTGTTACTCTGAGATGTTCAGCACATTTAATCAGCCAGTACAGTTTATTTTAAGTAACTGAATGGAGGTTAATAATTTCTTGATTGAGCTGACATCAGCATCCATCTTGAAAGGACAGCCAGGACTCGGTATGCTTTTTTGGTTTAAGAGAAGCATTCTGGCTTTATATGATTTCTTGAAATGTGAAGACGTCAGTTCTAAAAGCAGGAAAATGATCATTGTGCAAGTTTAGAAATAGCGTCCCTGTGTGGTTCACGATGATTTGCAAAGAGCTTTTTTTGGAATATTTTCTCCCTGATCCTTGCAGTCACAGCCAGACACTGGGAAGGCAGACTCTGTATACCCATTGTATAGATGAGGGCCTACTTGGCAAGAAGCCAAGCTCCTTAAACTTTAAGGATTTTTTCTCCAATTAAATTTGGCCTTGAAACCCAAGCTTGAATGTATATTTGATTGCAGAAGCATGGTCTGATGTGTATATACATTCTAGAACTGTGACTGGTCTACCAACTTTGCCAAAGGTCACTGGGCACTGAGGGAGCAAAGCAATTATTTGTGGTACTGCGGATTGAACTCAGGACCTTATGCTTGCCAGGCAGGTCCTTATTCTACTGAGCTGTCTCCTGGACCCAACAATTCTTATTCTATGAAGTGCAGCTAATTCTAGGCAGTGCTGTATAACAATAACACTTATATATTAGTAATGAATAGTCTTTAAATTTTGTGATTAGTTTTAATAACAATGGTAATGATCTGCATGCTTGTGTATACTACTGTCTTCTTACATTTCCATTGCTGGCAGCTGCTCTTCAAGAAAAGAGTTCTAAAATGAGGGATATTTTGATTCTTCAACTTACTATTTGACCTTGAAAAATTATAAATACTTTAAGCCTCAGTTTCCTCACCTGTAAAATGGGACCAATCAGACTGATGGATTGTTATGAGAGTCAACGGTTATTATATGGGTGAAAGTGTTTTATATATTGTAAAGGGCTTAGATGGAGGAATTATGACTATAGTAGTTTTTGTTCTACATAGTCTTACTGTGATAAGCAATAATGAAGCATAGTAACTTTAGTGTCTGTGTAAGTCCTCGGACTACATCATGCTACCATTTTCAGGTGCCATGAAAATGAATAGCAGGGTCATGTGCAAGGAGTTAAGTATCTTTAATAATTGCTCGCAATTGGCACATGTAGCCAGTAGCTCTTCAGAGGAGGAAAACGGCAAAGTGGGCAGGTAATTGGTTCTGTTACTGGGTAACTTCTGATTACCTTCATTTTCAAATTGCCAAGTGCTTCATCTACTGGCAGTGCACTTTCTTACAAGAGGTGGACGTGCAAGCTTGGGTTTCAGCCTGACCAGTTGTGACTGAGGTTCTACAGGGTTGCCAGTTACCTACAGCTGAATTTGTGGGCGTTTAAGCTGCAGCTATCAGAGGAGTCAAGATCATACACCTGCGCGTTTTAGAGTCTAGCGTAACTTCTTTTTTGTTTTTTTCTGTTTTTAGGGAAGGGTCTACAGGGTGTTCAGGGTCTCACTACTAGATCAGACTCGTAGTTATCGGTCTGTTCACAGCCTCCCAAGAGCTGGGATTACAGGTGTGCGCAACCAAGCCCAGTCACAATTGCCATCTCAGCATGCTCCGGGGTTGGGGCCAGCGCAGCAGGCCCGGGGATTGAACTCCCAGACCCTGCGCCTGCTTGCAGTACTTTAATCTGCTGAGCTATTTGGCCAGCCCTTGTTCAGGACTTCTAACAGCACTGAGCTGCCATCAGACTCATCATCTAATTAAAATGGTTGTTAAAAAGTATCCTGGGGCCCCTGCTGAAATAAATTTGAATCTCTGGATTTGGGTCCAGGATTTTGCATTTTAAACCTTTAAACAGTCAGACTCTAGCCATGTGGGAAAGTTCTAAACCTGCCCTCCCTCAACTATTTCATCTGTAAAATGGAAATATAGTATTTACGTTCAACTGAAGTTGAAACATAGGAGATGTTTCAGTGGTGATTTTCTGTGGCCTTTATCATTATTAGCATGTTTTTTCTCACTGAGGTTTGGAACGCTCCTCTGAACCTTCCTGAAGAAAGCCCTTCTTTGTGGGAGAGTGGCACTTTGGTTAGTTTCCTAGGACCTGTGGCAAGCTGGGTCCATTCCACTCAGACCACCTTTCCCAATGTTAGGTTTAGCTGTGTCGCCAGATTAGCACGCTTCTTGCGCATTTAGATTTTGCTACTGAAGTATGCTGGCAACTGGATGGGTGGGCTTTTTTAAAAGATAGTCTGATTTGATCCTACCTGGGTTTAGACAGACACATTCTGGAATCTAGAAGGACTGGGTTGACTTTTCCCTTATTTTCTGATAGCCCTTCAGGGTTGTTTTGTATCTGTAAGCAGATCTTTTAGAGATGTCTGAAAGCC